CTATGTGCAGGGCACGTCCAGGCAAGGTCAGCCCTGTTCCAGAGGGTTCCAGATGTTCATACTGAGCATGTGCAGCCTTGGCACAATGGTGGGTTGCCTCATCTTCTGTTTCTTGAATGCTGAGGGTAGTTCCAATGGCTGGGTCATTGGTCCAGGTATTGGTTTTGATGGTTCGGCCATTCAGAAGGAGGTATTTTTAGACCTACTGCCATTGTCTCTCAAGCACCCGCAATCATCCCCATTCATTCAGGAATCAAGTTACGTAGGAGGGGTAGGTATGAGTCATAGGTTACAAAACAGGGCATGGGGAAAAAGATGGAGACTTGACGAACAAAAGGGAGACTTGACTTATGCTAACTTACATATGTAGGCCTAAATCATATAGTACCAGTAAAACAGTAAAATAGAACAGTAAAAATCAAAATAAACATCATAATTTTACAATATAAAGAAAGAGGAAAAAAATATAACTTGCTACCAAAATGAAATGCTGAAGTTTATCCTACCTCTTAGCTCACTTATACTTATCTATAGGGAATAGAGAGGGAGAGAAAAAGTCAGAAATGGTTGGGGAAGGGGAGGGAATGCATTTTAAAAGAAAAAAAAAGATAAAGTGGGGCTTTTGCTACTTCATGGGCACCACTGCTCACAACTCAGGCTACCTAGGCACCATCCCCCTTCCCTTCTCCCTCCCCAACCTCCACCAGGGGCACACACTAGGGCTATAGGTGAATGTAACCCAAGGAAGAGACTTGTTTTAATCGAATGGTGGAGTTGCCAAACATTTAGTGTGTTTATTAAAGAAAAAACTGTGGAATTTTGCCCATTCTGGAACTTGGAACCATTTCAGTTAACATTGAGAGAGTGGGGAAAGAGTCTGGCTGCACCAGGTGGTCATGACATTGAATGGAAGAGGGGGGTGGGTAGCCATGAGGGCTTAACTTACCAAATGCAAAACCTTGGGACAGCGGGGGAAATGTCATCCATGAAACTGACACTCCTCGGTTTAATTCGATTTTAATTCATTAGCAGCCAAACTTTTCTTATGCATAATAAAAAAACCCTGTAAAATGCCTGATTTAGAACTTGGACCTGAGCCCAAGGGGCTGCCTATCCTAGCAGGGGCTGCAGCACTCCTCCTCAGTGGGACCAAGGCCAGGAGTAGCTTGGGCCATTGGGCTGGTGGGTCATGCTCCCCCATGTTATGAAAACTCCTACAGCCTTCCAGGACTGCCCTAGAACCTCTTGGATGGCCCATAGCTATGCTGGCAGCCACTGGCCAGGGGTAGTGAGTTGGCCCTGGAAGGCAGATTGGAGTCAATGACAGCCCTGACATTGAGTCTTAGACAGCCTGGTCCCTTTCACCTCCTGCACTAGTGCTGGAGCAGGCCCTCCTGGATGCCTTTCTGGTTTCTTTGACCATGGGTCAGGGGCTTCCATGCACCATATCTCCTGTTCCAGGGATCCCCTGCCCCACAGCATCTCTCCATCAATGCACAGTGTGGAGTGTTCTTCCACAGCTACCATGCAGTGTGTCTTTGGGATTCCTGGGCATGTTGCCCTAGGAAAGAGACCCTGGAGTGGGGCTCTTCATCCTGGGGGCGGGGGTGGGAGGGAGATTAGAGGCATCCTGCCACACCACTCCTGCTTGGTTTCTCTATGGGAGACAGCACTGATGCCACTCAGGGGTGTCATAGCTGTATCCCAAGCGAACTTTGACTTTGTGCAAAAACTCCTTATCCTGGCACTGATTCTCTCAACTGTGTAGCAGTAAGGGTGGCCTTCCTCAAACAGCAGATGGACATCTGTAGAGCTTTGCAGCATGTTCCTAGGCTTCAACTACTTGTTCAAGGGCTGTGGCAGCATGAATATAAACATTCACCAACCTGTTCATTTGCACACCCACACTGGGGTTCCAGTTTGGACATTTCACTGGTGCTATCTATGCATGTGTCCCCTGAACCCTGCAGTTGTCTAGCTGACCATCCTGGATCTTGGGCTCCATGACTGGGACTCCTACACACAACATCAGAGTCTGCAGACAATAGAGACACTGAGGGACCTATGGTGAGTCTCGTGTCCAGAACCATTTACCTTTCCTGCTCCAGAAGCTGTGTACCTGCTCATGACCTGACAATGACCACGTGGTGGAATGCCTGCCTTCCATGCCCCAGCTTGGGAAATCTGCACATGGATGCCTGGATTCCATCTTTTTGTTTTGGGAGCTGGGATGCTGGGGAACCCAAGCATCTGGAGGGATGAGGCTTCTCCAGTTCTCTGTGAGGAGAGGGAAAGATGGAGGGGGTGGGGAATGTTGCTAGAGGGAATTTTTTACATTCTTGCTGCACTTTACCTTCAGCAACTCTCGTTGGTTGGTGCTGTGCCAAAGGGTGCTGTGGCGACTGCGCCAGTGAAAACCCACAGGTGCAGTTGTTGGTTATACCTCAGCTGTGAAGTTCAGAAAAAACTTTCAGTGTCTTTTGGGGTCTGTTTGGGTGCCAGTTTGTGTTCAGTGGTTCTGTGTCAACACAATGGCCTCTCTTGGGAAAGCAACGTGACCTTGAGGGATGGGGTGGCCAGTTGTCAACCAGATTTATGGACCCACCCATTGACTTCAATCAATGTAACATAGACTGATAAGCCCCCCAAAACAATAGAAGGTACCAACCCTAGCACTTCTGCTTCATTCCAGGCCAGGGGCACAAGGGTTGAGGTGGGTGTTTGAAAGGCGCAAGGGCAGTGATGAGCATCAATAAATCAGAACCTTCACTCTCCCACCTAGACAATAGTCAAGCCAAGAGCCTGCTCCCTTACCTATGAACTAGGGCTCTGTGAAATGGCTGTGTTTTGATTTGGTTTCAGATTTGGCTGTTTTGGAGGACAGTGATTCATTTTGTTTTTTCAGCTGAATTTGTTTCAGAGATTCAGCTCCGTCAAGTCTTCTCCAAATCTGGCTCGAAGCCTACATGAGTGGGGCTTGGGACCCCAGCAGGGAGCAGGATGGGGCCATGGGTGGCTTGTCTTGGGGTGGGGGAAGGCTGCTGCTCTCTGTGCAGGCAAGGAGACCCCCATGTGGATCTCTGATCCTTGCGGAGCCAGGTTATGTGGCAGGGACGAGTGCTGCCTGCCGCATGACCTAGCTCCACAGAGAGCAGATCCACACTGGGGTCTCCTCTCTGCCACTGCCCACCCCATGCTGCACCAGATCTCTGCTCCCTGCAGAGCCAGGATGTGTGGCAGGGACCAGCATTGCCCTGCTGTGTGACCTGGCTCCACAGGGAGCAGAGAGTCACTCCAGGGTCTCCTCCCCACCGCTGTCTGCCCTTTGCAGCCCCAGATCTCTGCTCCCTGTGGGGCTGGGGGTTGCAGGTTGCCCAGGAGGGACCAGTACTCCCCTGCTGTGCGACCTGGCTGCGCAGGGAGCAGAGATCCATGCTGGGGATCTCCTCCCCACCACTGCCCTTCTCATGCAACCCTGGTTCTCTGCTCCCTGCAGAGTCAGGTCATGCAGTGGGGACCAGCACTGCCCTGCCGTGCAACCTGGCTCTGCAGAGAGCAGAGATCCACACTGGGGATCTCCTCCCTGCTGCTGCCTGCTCCACTCTGCACTGGATCTCTGCTCCCTGTGGAATCAGGATGTATGGGGACTAGCACTGTCCTGCCATGTGACCTGGCTCTGCAGGGAGCAGAGATCCATGCTGGGGTCTCCTCCCCACTGCTGTCCACCCCAGGATGCCCTGGATCTCTGCTTCTTGCAGAGCCAGGTCACACAGCAGGGACCAACACAGTGCTTCATGACTTGGCTCTCCAGAGAGCAGAGATCTGCACTGGGGGATCTCCTCCCTGTCACTGCCCACCCCACAGTGTACCAGATTTCTGTTCCCTGTGGAGCCTGGTTGTGTGGCAGGGCCCAGCACTGCCCTGCTGCATGACCCAATTCTGCATGAAGCCGAGATCCATGCTAGGGTTTCTTCACTGCCACTGCCCACCCCATAAAGTCCCACATTGCCGGTACAGTGTGGGGCAGGCAGCAGCGGTGAGGAGACCCCTGGTGTGGATCTCTGCTCCCTGTGGAACCGAATTGTGCAGCAGGGCAGCAGTGTACAGCTGTTTCCCTACAAGCCCAGCTCTGAAAGCCCAACTCCGAAATTTTTCAAAATATCGCCAAAACATTTCTGAAACATTTCAGATGCCTCGTTTCATTTTGGAGATATTTCTGAGCCTTCCATTTTGATTTGGATTTAGTGTTTTGGGTGCCGATATGGCCCAAAACACTTGCAAAATGAAATGCCTGCCAAAATTTCACATGGCCCTACTATAAACATCATAGCTATCTTAAGACATTTAGCCAGCATGGCATTGTATGCCAACTTAAATGCACAGAACCACTGCATTTGCAATGGTATATGCCCCAGCAGAATATTGTGCTCCTGTATGGTCCAGAATTTCTCACATTAAAAAGCTCAACACTATATTTGACAGTGTATAGAGACTCATAACAAGCTGAACAATTTACACACACAGATGTCCACCCTGCAACCTAGGGAAGTAGACAAAGTGACACAAGAAGGCAGATCCTAAACACTCCCCTGCTGCCAGGTTTCTGGGCCTGTGGGGTGCCCAGCAGACTGGATACAATGGCCTTGTGTGTTGTGCTAAAGTATGTAAAGGGTGGAGTAAATGGAAATGAAATAATTGCTCAGACTAATCCAGTCTAAAATCTATCCCTACAGCATTTTCTACCAACACCAAACGAACCCCCTACTGGGCACAATCTTGACAGAGAAGCATGGATAAGCTGAACAAACTGAGATCTGGATATGAATGCTTCAAAACACTACTATACAAGAAGAACATCAGCTCCTGTGTGAATGTAGTGTCCAGCAATCAGCACAGCATTTTAATCAAAAGCTGCCAGATGGTGTAGATGGAATCTGCATGCTACTCCATAATACCACACAGTGGCTCAGAGCTGACTGGAGGGGACAAGTATGGGGAGGGGGGTTGGACATAGGGGCTTTGCTGGTTCAGGTCACTGAAGGCCCATGATTAGGGTTGGCCCAGCATTTGGGCAGAGGGGTTGAGCTCTGGCTGAGGCTAGAATACCTCCCACGATGTGGGGTGAGCAGGGTGTCACAGTGCTCCATGGGATGTTGTTGGAATGAGACCCACCATGAGTTGTGATGGGATCTGGTATAGATCTTCATTACAGTGCTCCTAACCTACAGTGCTGAAATTTAATATCACATCCATCCAGGGTATCTTAGAGTGGGATATGCCATTTTTACAGCACTCTGTGTCCTGACCATCTGTTCAGTTATGGCTGTAGAGTGCTTTCTGCATGCTTACCACACAATAAGTGTAACTTCTGTATCCAGCCTAAGTTTTTCACCATTAAGTTTTCCAGACACCAAACTGTTTCTGGGTAGTCCTTGAACTGCTTTGCTCATGTCAAGTTTGGCCAACTGCATTAGTTCATACCTAAACCCATCAGGACTCACTAACTAGGTATTCCCCCACTTACCTTGCTTGTTAGTCTTGAATTTATAAACTTCTCAAGTCATACCTAATGGGAAAGAATCCAAAGAAAACTTGGTGGTATTCTCTTTTATCCCATATCTTAGTAGATAGAGTACTCATCCATGATGTGGAAGTTCTAAGACACATCTATACTACAGTTAACTGTGCTAGGCAATGCTGCTGTGCTAGGGAGTGCCTACTCTCACACACCCGATACTAGGAAACTTATACTTATGTATGCTTATGTATGCCAGGCACTGGATGCAATTATTAGCATTCCTTAGACTGGGAGTCTGAAAGAATCTCTGGGCATTTCCAGGGTTACACTAAAAAGTGACTAAATGGCATTTTAGCTTTTGGCACATGCAGGGTGGAATTGAGTAAGTGGCTGTGTTGTCACAGTGGCATTCCTTATCATGGTCCATTGTGGTGTAGATAGGCCCCTGGAGTCAATTTCCTCCCCTTCCTGAGGGATTTGAATCTAAATCACACAGGAGAGTGCCAGAGGTAAGAGACAAGGATTAAAATTTTCTTGGAAAGTTCTCTAAACAGACAGGACTACTACCACTTCTACTTTTTGTTTCTCTCAAACTTGTCTGAGCCCACCTCAGGTTTTGAAAGAAGTGGCTTAGACATCTTATACCAAGAGAGGAATCAGGGAAAAGTGCTTAAATCCTGAAAAGGAATCTTCTTATAATCCTATATTTTATAGAACACATTCTTTCATGCCTAATTATCCCAAAACTTTGTATAAAGTGTCTAGGTGGGGGTTGACAGCATATGTCTCACAGGCTGGATCTGGCCTGCAGGCTGGATCAGCTTAAGGTTTGCAGGCTGGAGGGCTTCCACCACATGCTGGTTGCAGCAGGGCTTTGTCTGTGCTGTAGCTGAGCACTGAGGAGCTCTGCTTACACCATAGCTGAAGGCCCAAGGGAAGAACTTGCTTGCCTCTGACTTAAGCCTGGTAGTTCTGGGCTACTGATTTTAAAGTTGTTGACTGCTGCTCTAGGCACCCAATATGGAGGAGGTGAACTCCACTAAATATACCTGAGAATTAGGCACTGTAATGCTCAGCATTGGGACACCTAAATTTTTTGAGGGGATTCATTCCTTATTTCCTACCATGAAGGGATTCATAGGTGGAATTGTGACTGGGTGTGTCTACATGTTCATTAATGTGCTTTTCCTAATGTGTATTAAATTTAGTACCTCTAATGTGAGGTACTAAATAAATGGACATTAGGTTGCCCTTCTGCACAGTAACAAAAGCACATGCTTTTTTATAGTCAGTTAATGTGCAGTAGCTTATTTTTACTGTGCATTAGTGTATTAGCACTGTTTTTGATTTGGCAGTTTAATGTGCAGTAAAATAGGCTACTGTACATTAAAGTGCACATGTAGATGCACCCATCAAGTTTCAGTTTGTTCTGTGATGGAGCTATATGCCCCCTACTGCTGTAACTAGGGCAGAACGACAGGGGCAACCACCTCTGGTGCTGCTGGCAGTGAGGATCAAAAATGTGACTTTTGCCACAGCCATACAATTATGATCATAGCAGCAGTAGCAAGAAGTCATCACTACCCCTATTTATAGCAGCTGCTCCAGGTGCCTGGCTGCATTCGTATGTTGCTGATGCTTCTACTCATTTATGGTAGATTATAAGGTCACAATTTAGTTTTGAAAGATCTGTAGGATTTTTTTAAAGAAGAATTTACATAAAAGGATTCTGGGAATGTTATCCTTTGTTTAGCCTTTGTTTCCTGCAAGTCGTTTGCTGTTCCCTTAATTTACCATAATTAGTTCTATATATTAATCTAAAGAAATATTCTACACTAGGTGAAATGCATTTCCAGGGTGCTATTACAATCTAGAATACAAAAATTACTAATTTTCATCTTTTAAACACAGAAAAATTTATTTTTAAAAATTGTTTTCCGTCCTGCTATAGATTGAGATTAGTAACACATTATGTGGAACCCACCGAGCAAACAAATAGTAAATACTTTCTGTCATGAATAATCCAGACTGAGTACACATTAGGAACCTAAAGTCAGAAAACTCCCTAAAACATTCTCAACTTGTCATATTACTACTCCTATCTGTTTAAACCTTAAACAAATTTATCACCTTCGTAAACACAGTCTTGAAAAACATGTAAATCCTTCCTCCTGGGTATTTTCAGTTACTTTATTAGAATACCTATCTTTCAAAATGTAATTAATTCACCAAATTTTGTTAACTAAAAACACAGACGATAAACAGAAATGGTAAGACATTAGCTCCTGACTAGGGTAAATTAAAGTACTCTTTTGGCTGGGTGCCTGACAACTGTAAATCAGTATAATCTAATATAAAAAAAATCCGTATTTTTTTTTAAAAGTAGCTCTTAAACAGATAATATTATTATTAAAAGAAATATAAAAATGACATCATTGTCCTTGTTCATGGTGTGCAATAAAGGACAATTTCCCATAGGAAAACTTTAGATTTATTTATTTTTATTTACTTGCCTCTGTGATTTACTAATACTTGTCCAGTTGTTCTACTTACTAATATTCCCCACTTAGAAAGTTAAGCACAGCTCATTAAAGACATTTGTTTGTCATTTAAGTAGCAGGGGAAGTATCAGCTTTATTATAATTTTGTAGGTTTTCATAAATATGCAAGATAAGCGTTTGTGTCTTCCCCACCCCAGTTACTGCCATCAAGGCTGAAGTTAATTTATTGAAATAACAAATTAAAATTGTTTTCATTCACATCATCTTTGTCTGATCATTGCTGTAATTAAATCCACAAGAAGTGCTCTAACAGTAGTTATGCTCAGTCTAGATTTCTTGTAATTGGAAAAGGCAACAAACGTTACTTAGTTGGAAAAAAAAAAGTTCAGTATGTCACGATAATGGAGTGGGCAGTGCTATTGTTGTTGCTGTTGGCTTAGTTGAATAACTGCTAAGAAACTTTGGTGTTTTATTGTATAACTGGATGCCTTTTTTTCTTTATATCTGTCCTTTCCTCTCCCTTCCCCCAAATTTCCTCTTCCCCTCCCCCACACACATTCCTTTCTGATGGAACTACTTAACATCAGCTCTTCTACTCATGTTGAAACAATGAGCAGTTTTTATCCTAGGGCTTTGTCTACACTACAATAGTATGAGTAACTAGTGTTGTTTTAGCTAACCAGGGTAATACTTGTAGTGAAGATATGATGGATTGAGTTATGCAAACCTGCTGGAGACTTAGACAAGTGGTAGCCCATGTCAACATTTGTCCTTATGTATCTTCATTGCAATTGTTACCCAAGCTAGCTAAATTTAAAATTCACACAGGTATGCCAACATATGCTGAGATTACACTTTTGATTACAGGGCAGATGTGCCCTTGGCTGTTATTCTGTGGATTATATGTCAACATCCATAGTCATTTTTGAATTGTGTGGCTAAGCATACGGTGTGACATCTGCTAGGGAATCTAGACTATATTAGTCTGGGAAGCAAGAGCTCTAGCACCTGTTTTAAAATCTGATTGTCTTTACATCATACAAAAGAAGCTTTTGTTGCTAAACTCTTCTACTTAAGTCACATCTGTGTAATTTATAATAATGCTGATACTGTATATAGTCCCTTTATGTTTATCTTAAAGACACTTATACTGACTAGGTACACTGGAATTATAAAATTGTAGAGAGACAGTATTCCGAGTCCATGGTGTATTAGGTGTATTCATGTCTTATTTAATAAACAAAGGAAGGCAAAGAATTGACAGGTTACAAAGCTTGTACCTACAAAGAACTAAACTACACTAATTTGCTATCACTTTTAAACTGTGTTATAATTATTTTTGTTTTATTTTCAATTACATTTTTATTGGGCTGATGGGATTTACCCTCTGTGAGTAAGTAATATACTTTACTGACTTTAAAACGTTCTTTTTACGGTGATAAGTACTTGAAAAGAACATTACGTACCTTGATACTTTTGTACTGTGATAGACTCTCAGATATTGTTTCTTCCCAGGATTTCAATTTGTAACAAAATTGCCAGGTGGGTTTGCTTTTCTTGTGATAGAGGAAGGCAGAAATGAATAACCCTGGATATAGCTTTATTATGATTCAGATCTCTGAGCTGAACCAGTGCGGGCTACCTGGTCCATAATAACTCCAGTTATAGCACACATCTTTTCAGTACATAAAGCATAGTAAATACAGTGGGGTATTTATTATTGGAATGCTGGTAACACAACAGATAGCGATATGTACCCTTAAATGGAATATTTTTGTTACAGTATGGCTTCTTAACTGTCATAAAACACAAAATGAAAACACAATTTAAAATAAACCTGTCAAATGTTTTGGTGAGGTGTTATATATTATACTAAATACTTTTTTGGTGACTACCATACTTACCACTCCCCTTGTCTTGCATATGCATACAAGGAACTCTCACTAAAAGCATTAGCTATTATTAAACTGCTGCCAATGCACATGGCCCATGTGGGGCAAACATACTGATGAAAACCTATCACAAAGATTTCATAGATTTCATAGACATTAGGGCTGGAAGGGACCTCAGGAGATCATCGAGTCCAGCCCCCCTCTCCAGGGGCAGGAAGTCAGAAGGGGTCATAGGACCCCAGCAAAATAAACATCAAAATTTTTCTTGAAGGCGTTCAAAGTAGGTGCTTGAACCAACTCTGGTGGCAGTCTATTCTAGACCTTGAGGGCTCAGACTGTAAAGAAGTTCTTCCTTATGTCCAGCCTGAAATGGTCCTGAAGGAGTTTGTCACCATTTCACTTTGTCATCCTCTGGGGTGCTCTGGTGAACAGACATTCCCCCAGATCCTGGTGAGCACCCTGATAAACTTATAGGCAGCCACCAGATCACCCCTGAGCCTGTGCTTTTCCAGGATGAAGAGTCCCATAGCTCTCAGCCTCTCATCATAAGGTCTGTT